CGCTTTTCCACTGCTCTACCCATTCTTACTCACAACAAATCAATATAACCGACATTTTCATGGCATAAAATTATAAGTAAAATAAATAAAAATATGTTCCACATAATACAGAGTATACACATTGAAATAAAACTGTTATGAAGCCATATAAATTTGTATTGAATAATGCAAACAGAGGAATATTCACACAGCTCATAGTCGGTAAGCTTGAGTTTCACTTGGTATGTGGATACACTCACGCGCCATAGTTTTGATGCACCCTTCACCCTTCCCCCTGACTCGATGAAGTCGTAGCCTTGGCTTCATGCCGAACGTCCTCCCCCCCCCACCCATCGTTCAGTGGTGAAATGTGGAACATAAGAAAATAAGGAGTCTGCAATAGGCAGGTTGGCCTGTGCATGGCAGCTCCTGTCGAGAGTTACTACCACTCTCTATCATCCATGAATCTATCTAGCCTCCTTTTGAAACTTCCAGAGTTCCAGCACTTACTACAAAGTTGCTAAGCTTGTTCCACTCGTCCACCACTCTATTTGTGAACCAGTTTCTTCCTATCTGGATTGTAGGAATAGCAGATCATTATATAATAATTGAGAGAATATATGCACGATACAGGATTTGTTTTAGTGACTTCACAACACTTTAATTACCATCACTATACTTAACATCACTATACAAGTGGGACCGTTCGGTTTGCAGCCCTGACTACGACTTCCCTCGAGCCAGGAGAAGGGGTGGAGGGTGCATCGAAACTATGGCGAGTGAGTGTACCCACATCCAAGTGAAACTAAAGTTTACCGGCTATGAGCTGTGTGAATATTCCTCTGTTTGCATTATTCAATACAAGTTTATAAGGCTTGTAAGTTATTTTGTGAAAAATAATGCATTTATTTCGTGACCACACGAACATACAGTGTAGGTACCGTAGTGCAGCAGCTTGTGCCGTGGTGTAGCAGCTTGTGACAGTGCAGCAGCTTGTGCCGCGGTGCAGCAGCTTGTGTTGCGGTGCAGCAGCTTGTGCCACTGTGCAGCAGCTTGTGCCGCGGTGCAGCAGCTTGTGCCGCGGTGCAGCAGCTTGTGCCGCGGTGCAGCAGCTTATGCCACTGTGCAGCAGCTTGTGCCGCGGTGCAGCAGATTGTGCCACGGTGCAGCAGCTTGTGCCACTGTGCAGCAGCTTGTGCCGCGATGCGGCAGCTTGTGCCGCGGTGCAGCAGCAGGCGTAGTGCAGCAGCTTGTGCCGCGGTGCAGCAGCTAGTGCAGCAGCTTGTGCCGCGGTGCAGCAGCTTGTGCCGCGGTGCAGCAGCTTGTGCCACTGTGCAGCAGCTTGTGCCGCGGTGCAGCAGCTTGTGCCGCGGTGCAGCAGCTTGTGCCGCGGTGCAGCAGCTTGTGCCGCGGTGCAGCAGCTTGTGCCACGGTGCAGCAGCTTGTGCCACGGTGCAGCAGCTTGTGCCGCGGTGCAGCAGCTTGTTGCCAGCCCTACTGTACAACACCTGGTCACTAAAGAATTACCTGTGAGTCATATATGTAGCCATTACTCGCCATCTGGCCAGTAAAATCTCCTTCCCTGACGAGTTGTTGAATATTTACCCCTGGAAAAAATTGAGTTGGCCCCAAAAATATTAAGAGTAATCAAGCGATCTCTGGCATCTAAAAAATATCCCCACATTCAAGCCCAGAAGTCTAGTCCCTCCGGCCAGGTGTTGTAGGAGTGGCAACAAGCTGCTGCACCACAACACCCACACTGTACGTTCATGGGGTCACTATAGACACGCATTATTTTCACATAGTAACTTAAGAGTAAAGGCTGCACGTACCTAACAGGTGATGGGCGATGCTCCCTCTCGATGAGCTGTAAACATCACTTACCTGCAATGATAAACAAATACATTACTTACATGGAAGGTTTTCTGGCATTATTTTCACTATAATTACCAGTCACTGTTCACTATAATAACCAGTCACTGTTCACTATAATCACCAGTCACTGTTCATATTACTGGAGTGAGAACGATTAGTTAAAGTATATTTATGAAAACATTCCACCATATGTGGGTCATACAGCACTGGAGGCAGGTGTCAACTCCCGCCAGGTAACAGCTTGGCGTCTCACTACAGACCACAAGTCAACAACAGTGATAAAGTTTATTCAAACAACAACTTCTATAGTGTGCTCACCCGAAGCTAGTTGGATCAGTTTGTAGCAAGGAAGAGTTTACGTCCCAGAATGTGTCACTGTACTTATGTTGGTCTTCTCTTTACGGTGGTTGTATTGTTTCACAAGCTACCTTTTGCTTCCCCAAGTGCGGACATAACCAACATATCACGTTATTACCCTTAAAGATAATTATCATATTACAAATACGAGTGATTAAATACTAAATAATTGTATTGGCTCTTCGGGTGTCCGTCCACCAACCATGCTACAAACTGACCCTAGGCCTCAGTTGCAAGCTTAGAATAAACAAACTGTAGCTGTTTTGTGTTTTTAGGACCAAAATGTCAAAGGTCAAGGTCACAGTGTAGGTCGTCAGGTGTTGTGGGACTCACCTTATCCTGGAGGAGGGAGAGGTGGTGGTGGGTGTTCACTTGGCCAGGTCCTGCCGCCGGGGGCTCTTGTCACCAAGGTTCTCCACTTTCCTGTAATAACAACTGTTATTAGTTCGTGACATTATCAGGTTAAAATATAAAATGTTAACTATTATAATTACTGAACATTACTTAGGTGTTACCGAGTGATCGTTGGCTAATTTGTCATCTAGCACAATAGAGTTTATAAAAAATGATTTAAACGTAACATCGCCATTTGGTTTATATAAAAATACACCACATGTATACTATATAATAGTATATATACAGTATTCATATACATGACGTCAATGGCTTGCAAAACAAGTTTGTCGCCCTCAAAACCTACGCCTACGCTGAAGATGTCGACGGGCTGCGTCTTCAAGAAACGCGGTGGGCTACTGGTGGTGCCTATGCACCCAGTGACTTCACACTCATTGAGTACCTCCACTTCCGCGTCAATGGCCCACCACGAGATCATGCACGTGGACGATGTATCTACGTCAAGGATGGACGTTCCCTATCAACCCCTCGACCCCATCCTCGATGTCGTAACTACTGACGCACACACCATCACATTAAAAGGTATGTCCCTCAATGTTGTCAACATCTAAACGTGCCTTCCTCCACTCCCACTGTGCCTAACTTACGACAGCACATGACCACCACCTCCATGTCCCCAAGCGTCACCAACACCTCGTCCCTCCATGACCAGATGTCCCTCCTCCTAACGACAGACCAGGCATTTGACATCGTTAGGGACCTGCCACGCTTTGCTATAAACAGATGAATTGTATCGGGAATTCTGCCCCAACACATTTATCCTTCTGTCACTATATGTAAATTGCTGACAAAATCCATAGCCCTTCAGGCACTTGCGTCTTTAATGTATGAGTCAAGAAGGGAAACATAAACTCCGCACGCTTCTCTGATGGGCGCTGTAAACGCTTTTGAGCTTCGTCTTGTACACAACTACAATCAACATGTCCAGTCCCCCCCACTAACCTTTTCCGGCAACGTCTGTGCTCGTGCACTTCAAACACTTACTAATATCACTCAAGGGTTACCTTGTACTGTATCTGTGAATATGTTCTTACCTCTTGGACGCCTCATTGTGATGAAATGTGTGGCGAAAAACTTGAAAGCACAAATTTCAAAACACTACGTATGTCTCACAGTCACCCTTACAGCTCCCAGAAATTAAATGGCTGACGATTATTGACGTTCTAAAAGGATGTACACCAAGCGGTGAAACTATAGCGTTTCCTATTACTTTTTACTGTGATTTCGAAACGGGTATGTCGTAACATCTGACGGTGTGCAAACAAACTAAAATAAAGATCATAGAAAATGAGTCAATTTCCTCCCTGCTTTACACTGCTAAACAATCAAATACGAGGGATAACTATAATATCTAACGTATTTTAAGTGTGGGTGTTTAAGAGTCTTTATTATTCTATACAGGTGGGAGGCTTTACATAAACCTTACACACACGACGTTTTATGTACAGTAGGTGATAATGGTGTTATGTACGATGATTTAATTTATTTAAACACTTCTTTTATTATGGATAATTCATACACGTCTAATAATGTCTAAAACACTAGTAACACCACTATAACACCACAATAGTACCACTAGCACCAGTATAACACCACTATAGTACCACTAGCACCACTATAACACCACTATAGTACCACTAGCACCACTATAACACCACTAACATCACTATAACACCACTAGCACCAGTATAACACCACTAGCACCAGTATAGCACCACTAAAACACCACTAGCACCACTATAACACCACTAACATCACTATAACACCACTAGCACCACTGTAACACCACTAACATCACTATAACACCACTAGCACCAGTATAACACCACTAGCACCAGTATAGCACCACTAAAACACCACTAGCACCACTATAACACCACTAACACCACTATAACACCACTAGCACCACTATAACACCACTAGCACCAGTATAACACCACTAGCACCAGTATAGCACCACACCAATATAACACCACTAGCACCACTGTAACACCACTAACATCACTATAACACCACTAGCACCAGTATAACACCACTAGCACCAGTATAGCACCACTGCAACACCATAACACCAGCTAACAGCCACTAGCCACTAGCACCAGTATAGCACCACTGTAACACCATTAGTACCAGTATAACACCACTAGCACCACTGTAACACCACTAGCACCAGCACAGCTAGGGAGGTCCTGAGTCACCCGTAAGTGGCAGTTAGTGGCGGGAAGGGGCAATACAATTGTGTATTTAGGTGTAGTGGCCAGTAAGTTACCAAGGCTCCTGGAGGCGATCATCACGGCCACACCAGCAGGAGTTTGAACCTTACGTCCACGCGTCGATAAGGCGAGAGTAAAGTGCTATACCACAATGGGCAGGTGTTATGATAAGGCTCTGGTGTAGTTGTTCTTCAGTGGTCTGGTGTAGTGGTCGTTGTTCTTCAGTGGTCTGGTGTAGTGGTCGTTGTTCTTCAGTGGTCTGGTGTAGTGGTCGTTGTTCTTCAGTGGTCTGGTGTAGTGGTCGTTGTTCTTCAGTGGTCTGGTGTAGTGGTCGTTGTTCTTCAGTGGTCTGGTGTAGTGGTCGTTGTTCTTCAGTGGTCTGGTGTAGTGGTCGTTGTTCTTCAGTGGTCTGGTGTAGTGGTCGTTGTTCTTCAGTGGTCTGGTGTAGTGGTCGTTGTTCTTCAGTGGTCTGGTGCAGTGGTCGTTATTCTTCAGTGGTCTGGTGTAGTGGTCGTTGTTCTTCAGTGGTCTGGTGTAGTGGTCGAGAACATAACTTGTACTGAAAGAGCCCATGAGTCGAACCACGGAGCCCTGATGTTCACTCGACCACCGGACTCCCCATAGATGCTTAAATCAATAGGTTGTAATTATTTAAGTAACGTGAAGCTCTGTAATCATGTCACTAACAGGTGTATAATCTAGATATTAATTGGTGTGAAATCAAGCAGGTAATTAGTGTGTATGCGTCAGTGATATAATCCTCTCTCTCTCTCTCTCTCTCTCTCTCTCTCTCTCTCTCTCTCTCTCTATGTTTACAGCGGAACATGTGGAGGAGCCGCTATAGGGTCATTCTCGTTATGGGTCTCATACGGTGAAAACAACCTTTATTACCAGTGGAAAATTACAATAAGTTAAATAAGGTTACTGTAACACGCTGTATAAGTTACTATACGAGGGAAACATTATGAGAATGAATGACAATAATACAGTAGGTGGTATGGCATCCTATTTATAGTTTCTTATCTTGTCTATTGTGGGACTATAAAAGTGTTAGGTGGGATCATCTCAAGATTACACACCTCTTCTTATTTCCCCTGATGAGTAAATGCCTAAATGCCAAATTAACCTAACCTGACTCGGAGGTTTTACATACTATAGACAACACACACACACACACACACACACACACACACTCTTATTCTTTCTAAGTTACATTTTCTTCCTTAATACAAGAAGAAGAAAAACAGTGGCCAGAGCTGCAGGTGTTTTCTTGGTCCAACACAAAACCTCCATAAATTCTGGCGGACTTTACAGTAAGGTTACGAGTTTGTTTGTACAAATCTGACGCTCTGGTAATACTGTGACCAAACACAATATATCACGGTATACACACACACACACACACACACGCGCGCACACACACGCACACACACACTAGCGTAGCGTCATGGGCAACAAAGCAAAGTGTAATGCAGAGCTCTCATCACCACCTTCTGCCTCCTCCTTTTTACTTGTATGTATGTATGTATGTATGTATGTATGTATGTATGTATGTATGTATATATGTATGTAACCAATCCCACACAACCACCACCACCCATGATAACAACGCCTCCCTTACCGCTGGCCTGGACATCGTGGGCAAAAGATAATTACATTTACATAATTATAACATTCAGAATCATAAAAAAAAATATATAAACAAATTTGAGTCTCAATACACATCAATACAAGTCATGGCAGTATCATGGTGACCGTGACATTGGGGCGTGTCTGTGTGGAAATGTACATTATATATATAAATTTACTTTTATCGTCTGTGTGCTATAGAAACAACTTTGTATATATTATAATTGACTGATCTGTGACTGTTGTTTTTATTCTATTATAAGAAATAAACGCACACATGTGATCATAACATCACTGAGTGGGCTTATGCTGATATTACAGGCGCCATAGATCCTCAGCAATTTGGTAATATGAAAACTTCCTCCATCACTCACTGTCTTGTCAGCTTTCTCGACTACATATACCGCCATCTGTAAAAACGAAAAACGTCTGTAGCTGTCGCCTTCATTGACTTCACCAAGGCATTTGACCTAGTCGACCACAATTTAATCATCAACAAAGCTATCGACCTCGGGTTTCGAAGAAGTCTTATACCATGTCTTACAGACTTCCTCAGAAACCAACGCCAAGCTGTACGCTTCCGTGGGGCTGTCTCCACCTTTCAGCTACTCACCTGTGGCGTCCCCCAAGGCACCAACATGGGACCACTATGCTTCCTTATGCTCATCAATGATGTCCTAAGAGAAACCCCTGCTCGCTGGAAATATGTCGACGACTCCACCATTGGGATCAGTGTCAACAAATCTGCTCCCGAATATACCGCCCTTCAGGATTTATTGAATAGTCTCCAAAACTGGGTCACCAACAACCACGTCACCATCAACCATACCAAGACCATGGTTATGCACATCAATCTCTCCTCCGACGTTGTCCCACCCCTTTCCATCACTTTAGGTCCCAACACACTCCAGGTTGTAGATTCCACTAAGCTGCTCGGCGTCACCATAGACAACAAACTAAATTGGAAACCACTCGTCAGTGAAGTTGTCAAATCCTCCAGTTCGACACCACAACCGCATCCAGCCCACACGAGCACGAACTGATCGCTATAAGAACAGCCCGGTCCCAACCATTGTAAAAATTATCAATAACTTGTAATCAACAAGTGTATTCATTCCCAGTCAATCTTACTTTTTGCACTGTCACTATGTTGAAATGCTCTGTAGTTTGAGCTTCTCCCACCTAATTATTATATATCACATTTGTATCACTCATGTTACTTGTATATTATTTGTAAATCAAGAGACCCATTCCCCAATTATGTAACTGTATATTTTCAGCCTTCCGGCTGCCATGCTTTTTCAATAAACAGTTAATTATTATTATTATTATTATTATTATTATTATTATTATTTATTCGAGTTAACTCTTCCCTCACGCCCAGGTAAAATAATACAAGTAAACAAAATTGGAAAACAAAACCCCAAAACAAAATAAAAACAAGCACATATAAAAAACAATTAAACCGAATAAAACAGGAAACAAAACAATACAAGAAAACAAAAACAAACAAACATTAGCCATGGTATAAAACCCAACCAAAATAATGGGCACAGGTAAATCAAGGTAAAATATATCATACATTATAAATTCATACACACATTGACATATGAGAGGTCCAGGTAATGTACCCATAATGGCGCTTTACATAATATTTGTATTTTATGTAACATGGTACAGTATTTGTAACTCGTTTCCTGTAACAACAAAATGTAGTTAGTTTTAATGAGACGCTGAACTGGACCCAATATTTTATTATGGCTGTATAAGAGATTATTGGCACGGGTCCATAATTCATGAGCAATGTACACACACACACACACACACACGACACTAACATTACTGAGCCTGTGTGTGTGTGTGTGTGTGTGTGTGTGTGTGTGTGTGGTAACTGACCTAGTCTCACAGCTACTATACAACATTAAACACAGATCTTTATAATGAGAGAACACACTGGCATAACCTTACTGCTGTATAAACAAAAAAATCAACATTCAACAATAAAATTTTTATTCAAAACAAAACTAAAAAACAAACCAATCTTTTTTATTTTGATATTTTGTGTTTACAAAAATTTGACAAAAATGTAGATCACATTTGGACTCGTTATTTACATACAGAATCACAATTAATTGGAGGTAAACTTGGAAAAATACATTACCTGTGTTTGTGTGTGATAATGAGATGATTAATATATACGTAAATATTTGGTGGACACAAATGGAACAACACTAACGCCATTAGTGAAATTAATGGTTCGGGTACATAAGGCATCACATGAACAGTAAATGAATAATAAAAATACACATGAAAATGCAAAAAAAATTATGATGATAATAATAATAATAATAATAATAATAATAACAATAATAATAATAATAACAATAATAATAATAATAATAACAATAACAACAACAATAATAATAATAATAATAATAATAACAATAATAACAATAATAATAATAATAATAATAATAATAATAATAATAATAATAATAATAGTAATAATAATAATAATAATAATAACAATAATAATAACAATAATAATAATAATAATAATAATAATAATAATAATAATAATAATATAATAATATTAATAATAATAATGTTAATAAGAAAGTAATAACAATAATAATAATAATAATAATAATGTAATAATAATACATAATAATAATAATAATAATAATAATAATAATAATAATAATAATAATAATAATAATAATAACTAGCAAGTCTATGGATTTGAGAGCACCCACATTCAACCGCCAACACTATCATCAATACTACTACTTTTTTTACCATCAATAATACTACTTTTTTCTTTTTACCACTACTACTACTACTACCACTACTAATAATAATAATAATAATAATAATAATAATAATAATAATAATAATAATAATAATAAGAAACGCAAAATCCCCAAAAAATCTCCAGCCAAGAAACGAAAATCCAGAACTTCAATTAATAAATAACGCAAAACACCCCTACAAAAATCCTCAAACAGTCAAGAAGGTAAAAACTTTGATAAATCGAAAGTGGCAAATCGAGGAATAAAAAAAGCTAAGTACTCTGAGCTTCAGAAGGATAAAGAGGATGAATTTATAACTCCTTATTTGTCTTCATCAACTCTGCCTAGATGAAGGTTTTTCTCGGCTGATTGTGAAGTGCTAATGGTGCTGAGGTGGCCTTCCCAGGGACTTAATGCGTCCTGGCAAAATAATACGATACTTTGTGCAGGAAGGGGATAGGTGGCTGAGGAGAGTGAGTGAGTGGGTGGCTGGGTGGGTGGGTGAGTGGGTGGGTGGGTGGGTGGATAGGTGCGTAAAGTCAGGGAAGGTGTAAAGATTGTAATGAGATTGCAGTAAGGGTCAGTGATGGTTAGTGAAGGTGTAGTAAGGGTGGAATGAGGGTGTAAAGGTGTAGTGAGGATGATGTGAGGGTGAGTGAGGGTGTAGTGAGGGTGTAGTGAAGGTGAGGATGAGTCTAATAAAAAAAACATATAAAACAAACAAACACAGACTTTTTTTTACATTTATTAAGGAAACAATGACAAAGTGACACTGATGCGGAGGGGGATAATAATATGTAAATTATGACCTTCCTATGTAAGTAACACTTGTTTACATGATGTGATGTGTGTTTAATTTTATTATGGATATTATTTGCATTACGTTTGTTATTGTCTAATGATTATTTTATATTTGTTATCTATATTTTGTAGAGTTTAACACCATGGGATAGTAAGCTACACCCAACTGTGAATAACGGGAACTATGCGTTACAGGTGAGGAACTGAGGGCGGTCGAGTGTAGGAAGGTTGAGTGGGGATGAAGGAGGAGGAATCTGGTGGTAAACAACATGGCTGACAAGAGAAGGAAGGAAAAATCTGGTGGTAAACAACATGGCTGACAGGAGAAGGAAGGCAAAAAATCTGGTGGTA